ATTTGAATAAAAAACAAAATAAACAATAACATTTGTTATTTTTTTTATAATTAATTGTGTTATTAAATGGATCGAGACATGAAACTTGTGAAAAATAAATTACCTGTATGAATCTCACTATTGCGTTCATACAAGTAATTTGACTATAAGGCAACCAAGATACATTACTTACATTTTGTTGCACCTCTGAGGTGTGTGGGAATTTTGGAAATTCTAGGTCTTTTGAGAGTCTCCCCTCCGACACCCACAGTCCTCTGTACCACACAACCCTGGACCTAAAATATTAACTATTAAATTTAGGAACCAGTACTTCTGGTAAATTTTTATTGAAGAAGTGGACTGTATACTTCAATGACCGACTTCTAAGTAGGAGGGGAGGGGAGAGGGGGAGGGGAGGGGAGGGAGGGGAGGGGAGGGGAGGGAGGGTGGGTATAATATCATTAACAATATTTAAAAAAATTAATTATCACATACCATGTATTTTAAATTGACTTACCAAATTTTGTGCAGAGGTCGCCTGATACAGCTAGACACCCACAACCTCTGCCTAGATATAAGAAACCTAACTGGCCAGAAGTTCATTATTATTATAATCAAAGGGGAAGCGCTAAACCCGGAGGATTATACAGCGCCTGGGGGGGGGGGATGTGGAAGGCATTCAGGCTTAATTTGGGGAACTGGAGCACAGATCCAATTCCTTAAATCAAGAGCCCCTCGCCAACATCAAGGAACCTTCCTTGAGGGGCCAGAAGTTCAACATAAAAAGGACAGTTTACTTAGCTGTTGGTGCTGTTGGCTCCTTGTATTCTCCTTTCACACTCCAATTTTTGAAATCCTACCAAATTAATGTAGTTACACCTTCAGCAGGACGATATTCCCGATTTGCCTTGCTCATATTTGGGAAGTCTGAGCCCAATTAAATCTCCAGAATGCCAAAGATTCGCGCCAAATTAACGTGCGGCCACACTCATAATATGGCGACCTCCTTAATTTTCCAGTTATCCACTTCATTATAGTGGTTTCTTCACTATTTTCTTTCCAATTCGCAGTGTAGTGCATTGTTGCATTATTTGCTGGTCGTTTGAGGCTGTTCCAATTCAATTTGGTCTTGATGACGATTGATTATATTAGTCGGCATTCAGACCGGTCTTTCACCGTTAACACACACAAATAACCCGCACATAAAAGAGAGAAGCTTACGACGACGTTTCGGTCCGACTTGGACCATTGACAAAGTCACACTGTATTGTGCCTTTTTGTTATTTATTTCACCGTTAAATTCAACTCGGTGTCCGCCTCCCTCCACCTCGCGCAGGCGCAGATTTTCCAAGAGTCAAATCAGCATAATTTTATTGCACATTTATTATTTTATACAAAATTATACATGCTGACTTCCGGAAAATGTACGAAATTTTCCACAAAGCTGAATTGTCGTTAAAAGGGAAATTTGTAAAAGGTTCAATAATAGACAAATTAGGGCTATATTTAGATGATGTAATTAGGTGTAAAGATAGGTTACAAATGAATTGTGTGAATATGTAATGTATTCTTTCTTTATGACATAGCCCATTCTCTGATCATTTTAATTATAAATGTGTTTAAAAATTGTATGTCAAAATGGAGTACATAAATAATTTCAATTAATTTAATTCATTTATCAACGCTCATCCCCTGGCCGCAGTGTGGAAATTTTTTACATAATTTCCTAAATGTAGTACAAATGAATGATATAATAATTGCATATTAAACTGTGATGCTCTTTGGATCCTTTGAGAAATTTTAAGTGGAGGGGTGGAACAGCCAGTAGGGAATGTGTGAACACTGGTTGTTGTAAGAACTTCTGCAAATAATTCGGCATTTTCTGAGGCCTAATGGGGTGTATCAGCTTCAATTTGTAATTTAGAAATTGCTGACATGTTCCTACTGAAGAATTGGGACAGGAAATTTGTAGGACCACAAGAATTGCATGTGGAGGACGAAAATAGAGGACTTCAATGAATCCTTCCCAACAACACACCTTAGTTAAGTGCCGACCCATATTGTACAGTAGTTTTTGCATTGGCCATCATAAAATCTAGCTGCCAGGGGTTAGGTTAAGGTGTGTCCCATCAACATTAAATG